ACACAAATATATGCTGAAATTCGCTGTATTAACCACCTAAAGAGGCCTTGACAGTCAAAACCGTGGTCGTGTTTCTATACAGTATCTAAAGATTTTACTACCTACACATTTATTAATAGCTCTACAGGTTAGTGTTTTTATCTTATTACACACTTTTTGTGGCTACAGGAGTTAACCAGTAGAGGAGTACCTTGGACTGTATTTCTTGGTTAAAGAACATCACAAATAAAAGTTTGGTTTGGTTTTCATTGAATATTATATCAAGGACTTCTACTCTTCTATGAAAAAAAGTTTGTTGGAAGCTCTGCTATTTGCTATATTGTGAATTTGAAACCAGAAGGTATAAGAGTTGTTCAATGGTGGTGAAGTGTGGATCAAAAATTCCAAGTGGCAACTTTGGTGTGCCCCAAGGATCATATGATGGAGTGGAAATATTAGAGTGGATAGGAATTTACATGTTAAACAAAATCAATAAAAATTGTCAACATAGACCATCACAGAATTTACCACAATGACAGGTTGATAGTTGTGCTCAATAATAGTAGAAAAAAAAAAAAAAAAACTCCATAAGGAAAAAGTTGTTCAAGGAAATGGACATCACGGTCAAGATTAATAAAAAGGTCGTGCAATTGTTGGATACCGAGTTGAATTTGTTGGATGGAAATATTTCCCCCATTCATAAAATCTAACACAAATTTAAAATATGTAAATACTGCTTCTAACCACCCATCAAGTGTTATTAAGCATATACCACTTGGCGTTCAATGTAGATATATCTCAAAACTCTTCAAATAAAGAAATATTTAATGAAAAAAAGAAGAAATATGTTTCAACATTAAAAGAAGAGGGGCAAAGCACTGGCCTTATATTTCAAAAAGAAAAAAAAACAGATAACAATAGTAGTAATAGAAGAAAAAGAAGGAGAAACATCATCTGGTTCAATCCAGCATTTAATTTGAATGTTAAAACTAATATAGAAAAGATCTTCTTTAATCTTTTGATTAAGCACCCCCCCCCAAAAAAAAAATCTGTGATGCATAAATTATTCAATAAAAGTACAGTAAAGTTGAGTTAATGCTGTACTAAGAATTTAGGCAAAATAATTAAAGGATTTAACGATAGTAATTCAAACATTGAAGAGAATCAGAGGTGTGAAGTTACAGCCTTGTGTAATTGTAGTATTAAGAATAAATGCCTTTTGAACAAGAAGTGTTGCACTGAGGGAGTAGTGTATTGTGCAAAAGCAGAGACTAGTGATGGCATATATTGGCTGTACAAAGAGCCAATTTAAAAAAAAAAAAAGTGGGTATAACCATGATTACTTTTTCAGAATACCAAAACAGGTTTTCTACAAGTCTGGCTAAGCATTATTGGGGTTTTAGAGAGATTCATAATAAAAGCACAATGATTGAATGGAATATACTGAGAAAATTGAAGGATCATAAGCTAAACATTATCTCGTGTAGACTTTGCCAGGAGGAAAAGTTGGCTATTGCAACTTATAAGAGTCACAGTAGTTATTAAATGAAAGAACAAAGGTCATGAAAAAATGCAGACACAAAAGGAAGTTATACTTAGGCATTTACAACCCCAATTGAGGTGAAATTTTTTTCCTTCTTCCCAACTACAACTGATTACTTCCAGTGTAACATTATCTTATTTAAGCTTTGGTGTGTGGAAGGTAATTTAATTCACTGTATTAAGTACTTGAAGAGACCTTGGCAGTTGAAACCATATTCGTGTTTCTATCCAGCATCTAAAGAATATATATATATATATATATATATATATATATATATATATATATATATATGATTAATACAATTATAAAATTTGTCACTTTGCTGATTGATGTTATATTCAGCACCTCTATTCCAGAGTTTCATAGACGAACCTTTGTGTAATTTTTCCACTTGTCAGGAGGTATCAGCAATTGTTTGTCAATTTTCTTGTTTTTGTTATTTTTATATTAAAAAAATAATTTGTACTTTTTTTTTTATTGGTTAGGCTGATTTTTCTTTTTTGTGTGCATGTATGCCTGTACATGTGAACACATGTGGGATGTCAGGATTAGTTCTTCTTTTCATAATTTTTTTTCTCTCGCATCATTCCTTTTCTTTCAGATCTGAATGCCAAAAAATACTGCAACAATGTTATTTCTGGTATCAGAGACAGGACTTTATTTTGGTTGGTCTCCTGAATATCTTAGGGTTTTCTAAAGTTTTTGAAAATATAGATGTATTACATCTTTATTTTTTCTATTTCTTGGTTAAATAAGTTTTTTAAATTAATGCTTAAATATATATATATATATATATATATATATATATATATATATACATACATACATACATACATTAGCCAACTCAATAAAACGATTATACACCTTTATTTTGTTAAGTTTGTTTAGCAGTACGCTTTTATCAGTAATATCTGGACTTTGAGGATTGGAAAATAAGTTGTTGCGATTTTGTAGGTGCCATATATCAAGATACTCCATTTTAAGCAGACTGAAGATGAAAAAGGCCCATGCAAAACTATTGGGTTAATTAATGATTTGAGTCATGATAATATACAAATTTCTAAGTAGGAATTGATCCGCCTTATTAACATGAAAGTAAGATGCCTTGGCAAGTCATTGCAGTTGAATGTTAACTTGCTTCTTATACACTAAAATCATGGCTAAAATTCCTGCTGAAACAATGATGAAGGTTGTGACTTTGAAGAGGGAAAATGACTCAATGAGAGATAACCAGGCAACTGGGATTTAGAAATGTTAAGAAACAGTGTTAGAAACTGTTCAAACCACCGAAAGACATTTGCTACTGCTGGAAGCGTTTTAAGTGCAAAGAAACCTGAAAAAGCACAAAGTTGGACAAGAGAGGTGAAACAAAGCTTGTGAGAGTCTTTGTAAGCAATCCTAAATTAACAGCCATACAAGTGAGGAGTAAATGCAGTTATAATGGTAAAGTTTCAGTTGGTACTCTATGCAGAATATCACCAAAGAACTTTAACAGGCAGCAAAAAAGGAAAAATATCATAACATAAAAAAAAAACATCAGAATAGACAATTGGAGAAGTTAAAAGAACATTTAAATAGAATGCTGGAAAATAGGAAAAAGTAATTTTTAATGATGAATACAAAATAAAGTTAGATTCTAATAATGAAAGAGCAATGAAAGAAAGAAACAATGCAAGATACACCACAAAGATAGTAAAATTTGGTGGTGAGCACTTTATGGCATGGTGTTACATAAAAAAATGATGATAGAAGAAAATTAGTAAAAGTTGATGGAAATCTAAACAGTGAAAAACATTAGTTTACTACAGCCTAATCTTCTGCCAGACTACAAAATGGAGCATGACTGTGTTCCTTACCATACATCACATGTAACAAAAAGGTTTCTTATAGATGAAAATGTTTAACTTTTGGAAGACTAGCCACTAGCACAAGTCCTGATCTCAATATAATTGAACCATTGTGGTAGGAACGGAAAAAAGAAGTGCTCCAATCAAGAGCTTTGGGATTACTGCCAAGAAAAACGGGAAAATATCCCAAGGAGAAAATCTGTAACCTGTTTTATTCACTACCACATTGAATTGAGGCAGTTATTTGAGCCAAAGGCAGCAAATACTAATTGCTAACGTCATATTTTAATGTTTTCTACTTTCTGCAAGAAAGAAAGAGCACTTTTCAAAAAAAAAAAAAAAAAAAAAAAAAAATTAATTTAAAAAGGGCTGAAAGGTAAATTTTTTTTGCTGGTGGCCCACTAACTTTGCATGGCCTTTTTTTTTTTTTCAGCCTCACTATAAGATGCTCTATCATCCACTCTTGAGCATTAATGAAAGTGTAGTAACTGGTTTTCTGGCCCTCAAAAATTATACAATGTATTGAGAAAAGCATACAGCTAATCACTCTTTATTTAGGGGTAAAATTAACAAAAAGTAATTTATCAAAGTGGCCAAAAGGTTTAGCACTCATTTTATATATATATATATATATATATATATATATATATATATATATATATATATATATATACACACACATTTGGTTGGATAGATGTGAGTTTGTGACCCTGGGTTTCACGCTTTGGCGATCGTCAGGCAAACTCTATCCAACCAAATATGTTAGCTCTATCTCTGATATTGAGCGCTTTCTAATAAGTACTGCGCATATAATATATAAATAATTATACATATATATATTTATTTATATTTATATACACTTTTCACACACACACACATTATATATATATATATATATATATATTACGTGCATGTGCAAGACAAACAGAAAGAATATAAAAAAAAAAAAAAATCATCAAAAGAAAAATTTCTGTGGTATTAAATGGCACATCTAAATAATTTGCAACCAAGATGTGTAGCTTTTTGTGCATATGTGCGTTTGTGTTTTTTGTTTGTCTGTGTTTGTGCGTGCATGTCTGCATTTGTGTTTGTGCGTGCATGTCTGCATTTGTGTTTGTGCGTGCATGTCTGCATTTGTGTTTGTGCGTGCATGTCTGCATTTGTGTTTGTGCGTGCATGTCTGCATTTGTGTTTGTGCGTGCATGTCTGCATTTGTGTCTGTCTGTTTTTCTTTGCATGTGGAAGAGTGTCAGAGAGAGGGAAAAAAAAAAAAAAAAAAAAAAGATACTTATGTCCAAAGATTAGTTTGCCAAGTACTTAGTAACCAAATCTTTGTAATAATGGTTTTCAGTATTTTACAACAGCTTGGACAATTAAATCACCAAGTAACTCTCACCCCCACACCAGTCTCACAAATTTGTGGGGATAAATGTTATCTAGATGGAGTTTAGATTTGATCTATTAACTACTAACACCAACTCCTGCAAATCTTGGAAGTATAAAAAAAAAAAAAAAAAGGATCTTGCAATATGTCAACATTTTTTGAAAAAAAAAAAAAAAAAAAAAAAAGAAGAAGAAAGGAAAAGAAAGAATCGTGGTTTAAATGAGATCTCAGTAAAATTTAAGAATTATTACTGTATTTTCCGAGCCATGCTGTTGAAAGCTTTGGCAATATCGTTGACCTGATCAAGAATCCGGTCTCTGTCCGATTTGAGCAGTCGGTCACCAAAGTGCTGCGTGAATTTGTCTGGGTGCCAGCGACGCTGCAGTTTCCTCAACAACATCTTGTTCTCGCCAATGTTCATTTTCTCTAATGCCTCAGCTGTGATAACGGCTCCACTACCATCTCGTGGCCAAGGAATATTACTAAAGGCAAGAGGCGTCTCCTTGTTATTTTTCAACAGGGCATCATATTTCTTATTACTCAAGAGAAAATCAGCCAACTTTGGAGAGTGCCTTTTCACAGTTGGGGAGGTGGAAGCTGAAGTCTCTGAGGAAGACTGGTGGTGCTGTTGGTGGTGGTGGGGATAAGACCTGCCAGTGTTGCCTGTCCAATGTTCTGAGTATTTGGCATCTTTAGCTCGACTAGACCGATTATCAAAGTTTTTCCTGTGCCTTGGCTCAGACATTTTTCGACCAAACAGCCAGTTCCGTTGGATAGATTCTCTCCATCGGGCAAATACACTGGAATCTCTCTTGCGCTTACGTTCAGACCAGATTCGATCAGCCCACTGGTCATAAGTTTCTGGGTGAGATGATGTGTCGGCAAAATCTGCAAAAAGACGAGAGTCACTCATCAACAAAAATATTGCAAAAGAAATTTTATTTATTTATTACAAACATTTTAAATTTCTTTTCAAGAGACAGTTTCAAAATTATGAAAATACGTTGTCTTCCTTTATCTGCCACCCTTGATGATATACAAGACTACCCCTCCTCTACCAATTAAAATAGTTTTACAGAGTTAAACTTCCAGTACTTGTAATTAGCCTATGCTATCTGGTCAAACATTAGCCTACCATATACATTCAGTCCATTATATGCCTTGCTTGATACACGCTTAGGCGATCATGTATCTTTCAATACATCACTGATGAGGCAGATTTTTTCCTCCTGCAGTAGGTTGCCATTTCTTTCTGCCATAGACTAGTTACCATCCAAGGCTATAGAACCAGGTCTCTCCTACTACTTACCCATATCTGGTGGGAGAAAAAGAGGATTCATACCTTTCCCAAGAGTATTAGCATGTAAATGAATGTAATGGATTCGACTGGAAATCAAACTCAGCTCTCCGATTCCTCAATCCAAGCCACTATCCATTATTCCACAGTGCCTCCTACCATATACATTAGCTTAACATAAAACCTAAATTGAACATGAGAGTTTTATGTCATTTTGCTTGGTTTTATTCTAAACAGGATTCATAAATGGAAGGGATTTAATTTCAATAAATTTTAGTCTAAGTAGATAGGTCAAAACTGTTTTGCAAAATGACAATTCAAAATAAGGGAGGAATTGAGGAAAGCTCGCATTGCAATTTAAGGAATGTGATCTTGAACCCTGAGGCCCATCCTAAATTGAACAATCCTAGCTAGGGTTTGGACTTGGGGAAATGATTAACCTTTGTCCCCAGAAAAAAAAAAAAAAACGATATGTTAAAATGACACTTATTCCCTTGACAATGCTATTAATGTATACACTTCTGATTCCCTTGGTAATGTTTATTTACAAGATTATGAAAATATTGAACCTAAAAAAAAAAAAAAAAAAAATCACAAGCAAGAGATGCTACTCAAACAGTCAAAGGATCATGAATGGTTTCTTTTATAAATTATTTGCAAGTCAAATTAACCAGATAGCATAACTAATATAAACACAGATTTTGGCATCACAAGGAAGAAAAAGGCAAACACAGATTTAGAAAAATAACTTAGAATTCACAATACATAGAGAAATCAAAAACTCTGTAGCCATATAAGGAAAAACATTTTGGATAATATATTTTCCAACAATCATCTTGTCAATGTACTAAATCCAATACTTCTGCATTATTTACAGCAATTAAACATTTTAGATAGTTTCAACTAGAGACTTACTGATCCACCTTCCTATGTAGGATATACTTGCTAAGGATAGGTAGAATGAATCGATTTATCTTGTGCCAATGTTTGTTAGCAATATAAGAGTGATAATGCCACAAGCAAATAGAAAAGACTGAATAATAGAAAAACTGACATTTTCACTTTTAGAAATGTTAAAATCATGAAGTCTACTACTCACAATACTTTTACTTATATAATCAATAGATTTGAAAAGGTCAGATATGTCTTGATTGGACATAGCTTAAAAATAATAAATGAGAAAAAAGGTGTGTGGGTGAAAGATAATTTGAAATCAATAATGGCAGGAAAGCTTCCTTTTAAATGTAACTTGCATCAGAAGCATCATATTGTTAGGAATCTAATGACATATTTTTACCAATACAAGTGGTGTGGTCTATGCTGAGACATTTTATATGCAAAAAATTCAGACAAGGAGTCAGAGGTAACAGAGTACACATTCCAGCACAGATCAGAATATTTTAGTATATACATGTTAGTCTATATCTCTCTATGGTGCTAAAAAATGTCAGTATCTTGTGACAATCTTGGTCGCTTCAAGACCCAATAACTATCCTACACATCTTCATAATGTACACTTCTTACTTCATCCTTTACAATAATCTGACTCACTATCCCTTTCCTGTGAGGGACACATGGGACTTGTATTGGGCTAACTAAAAGCATTAAAAACAAAAGGCAAAATTGGGCATAAAGTTTTGAAGGAGTTAAGACCAAAATATTACCCCTTTTTAATTATACTATCAACTAACATTTTTTTCATCTTTCAAAATAAAATTTATCCAGACAATTAAGATTTCTTCAATCCACGTAATATATATATATATATATATATATATATATATCCACACAGGATGTGCCTCACCCCCACACACAACCAAAAGTACCCACTCTTCAAATGACAATACATTGTAGTGTTTGACTTGCAAAGATTAACAGTTCAAATTAATTATTAAATGAAATTAAATGCATTGGATCTGAAAACATTCGGGAGATTATAGGAAGTCAAAAAGTGAGTACATTTTTTGGGGGACACCCTGTATCAATCATATATATATATATATATATATATATATGTATTTATTATATTTTATTAAGCATTCATACACGTTTCATTAAATAATATAGACAAGTGTTGTCTATTTATTTTATGTAAACTCTTTTCATAACGTCTAATAAGTTTAATAACATTATAATTGAACCTTGAAGATAAGATATTTACAGATTTTAAAAAATATATAATATATATAAGATATATTGATGATATTCTATATTAGTTAAAAATACAGATGAAATACTTATCTTCAAGGTTCAGTACTATGTCAAATTTACCTAAATTTTGGACCCAGTACTGAACCCATGGAGACATTTACAGATTTTAAATTGTGTATATATATATATATATATATATATATCTTATTATATTAAAATGGTGAAATTCTTTTCTTCTCAATTATAATGTTATTAAACTTATTAGACGTTATGAAAAGAGTTTACATAAAATAAATAGACAACACTTGTCTATATTATTTAATGAAACGTATATATAAAATAAATAGACAACACTTGTCTATATTATTTAATGAAACGTATATATATATATATATATATATATATATATATATAGGAAGAATCCATTCAAATACATTGATAAATTGAAAAATTTGCCTGCTTAATTTTTTTCATATTTTCGATAAATTACATCATAATTATTTAAAAAGTTAGAGTGTGTGTGTGTGCGTACACACAAAATTTCCTCAGCCTGACATAATTTCCAAAATGAATAAATATCAAATTTCTTTTTTAATCCCTTATGTGTGTGTGTGTATGTATATATATATATATATATATATATATATATATACACACACACACACACACATAAAAGAAAGAGAGACAAACAGTACACATTGCTCAATTTGAATCTATGTAGCTTATATGTAACATTTTCAATTTTTAACATTATCTCTTCAGCTGACTAATACATTGTAAGCTACACACAAAAAAAATCAATTCAGAAAACCAACCTTGTTCATATCTTCCCCAATATCTGCTATATTCATCACACACCTCTTCAGCAAGTTTCTCATTCCACTTGGCTGAATCACCCTCTTCATAATCTTCCTCTTCCTCCTCCTCTTCTTCTTCTTCTGAATAATCTGAAGACTGACTACTTGACTCAGATGTCTGAAAAACATAAAACATTGCAAAATGATTAACAAATGAAATTCTTTGCTTTGTTTCAAGTCATTACATTCCAACAGCTGAGCTTTCCAGTCTTCCTTAAGCTGTTTACCATACTGGACAGTTTTATTGACAGGAATGAACTGGAGATGAGCAGGATAAAAAGCATCATTTTATGACTGTCAGATGCAAAGAAGACCAGCAAGATTAAAAAAAAAAAAAAAAAAAAAAAAAAAAAGGACAAAAGAGAATATATTAGGAAAAGATAATTCTGAAATAACTAATCTCTTCTTAGAAATTCCAGACAATAGAACAAAATCATATGTTAAGGAATAGAAAACATTCATGCCACTAGTTATATTTTCTTTCACACTTACTATAATTTTTAATAGCATGGAGGTTAAAAGAAGGGAACAATTTGCATATCATTTTGTCTTTCTGAATTCTATTATTGTAAGACTATGGGCATCCCACATGGAAAGGAAAGAAATGGATTTATCTTGATCTCAAGTGTTTCTGTTTGATGGACAAGCAGATAGAAGACCAAACTAAGTGGCATCCACATTGACCAAAGTTTAACACAGATGTAAAGCGATGTATGAGAGGATTTTAGAGATCAAGAGGCAACAAAACTGGAAATAGGTTATATCTGAGTGCTGGTCTATATTAACCTTTAGCACTCAGCATTATTAATATTACTTCCTTTTCCATTCTATTCTTTCTTAATTGCAGCAACCTTATTGTTAATTTCACTCATAGCAGGATATGACAACATAACTGAAATTCAAATTCAGTGGTGGGATAAACATTTTGCATAGCAAATGAAATCACATACAGAGTAATAAAGATTAACAGTCATGTTTTGAACTGGAGTGAGTTATTGTTTGCTTTTACGGATATGTGTGTCATGATTCCAAAGCCTCCATTTCATATTGCAATCCACCACATTGGGATGAGTAGATGGGCAAGAAATTGGTAAGGGGAAAGGGCTGACATAGAAGAACTTGTCCCAAATATCATCTAACTACCCCAACAGACAAACAGCTGAAGCCCTGAATAAAACACCTACATAATAAGGGAAACAGGGGTCATGTTTTTATTTCATCGTGATTATCTTGTGAGCATGCAGTGCACTTATCCCCAGCTTTCAGTATACACTGACAAGATCAAAAATCAGAATGCAAAGTGGGGTGATTATTGGCCAGTCAGTGGAAAGCTTGAGGCAAGGGTCATATTGCACATTTACATAATTACAAAAATTAATTTTTGACTAATCTTTCTTCCATTTTAATTTCAGTTGGTTTTATCATAATTTGTTTTAAAGCCATTAGTAAATATTGCTGATCATAAACAATATTAAAAAAAAAAAAAAAAGAAGAGCTCTGAGAGATTAACTTCCTTTTTCCTCAGGAAGACATCTCTCATTGATTGTGCTATGAAAACTAAATTGTTGGCACAGACTCCAACCATAGCTTCTCCCAAGCTCAAATACTTGGCAGTTACCCATAAGTGTAGAATGATCCAATCCAAGAAAGCTGGTCAATTTTAAGAATCCATTAGGCCGTACATCCTGGGTATGACAAACTACATCTGACAGCAAGGCCTTTGCTTAGAAGGTTTTGAGGAGTGTGGAACCACATCTTAATTGCTGGTGTTCCCAGACGCACCCTGAGTCAGGGTGGTAGCACCTGTTAGGATCCCAGCTATGGACAAATAGCTAACCACTCAAAAGGGGTCACAATACATTTTTGGAGAAAAAAAAATATATACTGCAATAAAAATCTTGTCAGCATTAAATAACCCATTGAGGTTGACATGCCATAAAACAAAACAAACCAAAAGGGGTCAAAAAGCTATAAAAGTATAAAAATAGGTTTTAATACCAGCAATACATTTTTGAAAAAATAAAAATTATCAGCAATCTTGTCAGCATTAAATAACCTATTTAGGTTGATATGCTGTAAAACCAAACCATTAGCCCATAGGGATATTGCTTTTGTAATTTATCAAAAAACTGTTGCAAACAGGCTTACCGTTGAAAAGTCTTCTTTGTGCAAAAATCTGGTTATCAAATCTGCAACTGCAGAGCCATTGTTATTGCTTTCCTTGAGCGTGTGAGGATAAGCATCAGAAAGTGGCTTGATAAGTTCTGTGTAAACTGAAATGCAAAAAGAATTTATGAGAGAAAAATATGTAATAAATTTCAAAGTTTTCACTATCATTTGTTAATAACATGAAAGAAATTTTCTAACTTCTTTTTAGTTATCCAACCAATTCATTTAACAATAAGTCAATAAAAATATCTACTCGGGCATCTTTCAGTGGAGACATGGTTAGCAAATATGTCTCACAGACCATAACTACAATAGCAAACTTGATCCTCACTGGATACCTCACTTATGCCAGACAAGATAAATGGAAATATATTTGCCAAGTCTTTATAAATACCAAAATAAGAACAAAAAAATAGTTTCAGCAAACATTTACACTATTATATTATTTATTGGAATGGTTGGCAAATATGGGTTAATTGCCAATTGATTCAAACTTTATAAAATGGTAAATAACAAGGATTTTAAATTCTTTGACTATGCATTTAATAGAAGTTAGTGAACTTTGATTTTATAAATGCCACAGTAATTACAAAAGAACAATTCTTTACATAGGAACTATGTTGAGGGGATGTTGATAAATCTCTTACCATATTCAAAAGCACTATATTACATCACCAGCTTCTATAAAATCTATACTCAAAGGACATACATTATTTTCTGAATCCACACACAGACAAACTAGAATCATGATACATTTACACACAAATGCAACTTTACAAGACAAAATGCATGTGAAGTCTGCTTAGCCAATGAAAAACAAAGAAAATTTAAGACACCAGAATTTTTTATTTTTTCTCCATATCTCATTCTTTGATGAAATAAAAAAAAAGCCAAGCATATTAGATCTATAAATGTTTCCTATTTGTTCCTTAATGTGTGTGTGTGTGTGTGTGTGTATGTGTTAATACAAGCATGGTGGGGTAATTGGATAGTAGGTCAAATTGAGGAATTGGAGAGTTGAATTTAAATACCAGTAGAGTGGATTACAATCACGTATGTGCTAATACTCTTGGGAAAGGTATGAATCTACTCTTCTCTCCCTAGCTATGGGTAAATAGCAGGACAGACTGGGTCCTATAGCCTTGGGTAGCAAACAGTCTAGGAGGAGGACAACTCTAAATTCAAGACTTGCAGAAGGTTGTTTGGGGACCTTGTGGCACATTGTACACCAGGTCTCTGTATTCACCTGTTCCAAAAAGTTTGATGTTATGTACAAGCCTTCACCCCTATAATAAAAATGATATGTGTGGATAGTCTGGCTGTTGGTTCAAGAAATAAGCTGCTTGAGACTCATATTTCGAAAGCGACTTGAGTATCCAATATATATATATATATATATATATATGCACAGACATAAGTGTGGGTTCTGCTAATAACACACACAAATTACATATCAGATTTTGGTAAGTGCATTTTCTGAAAACTAAAATTTTTCTGCACCACACATTGATAATAATAAATAACGATTATTTTATCACATCAATATTTGAACAGGCACCAAATTCCCAATATCTTATATCAAATTAACCATCCCAAATCAAACTAGTAATGTTCTACTACCTAAAGAGCAGACATCAAACTTTAACCTATCATGATGGATGGGCCTTTTCTTGCCTTGAATGTTTATTCGGACTTGAGCTCATCACAGACCTCAAGTGGAACTCGTATATATGACCTATTACTATAAATGCTGGCAAAAAAGTTTGGTTCATTGTATGACTCTAGTAAGTATCCGACTCCTCCTGCTATCCTGCATCTTTACAAGAGCCAGATCAGACCAGAAATGGTGTATTGCTGGCATATTTGTGTTCCAGTTGCCCAGTCCTCACTTGCCTGTCTTAATAGTGTTTAAAAGTGTCTATGTGGTCTTGTGGGTGATGAATTATTTTCCACTTTACAACCCCTTTCCCTACAGACAAAACACTGCAAACCTTTTGCTACTATATCACTATTTCCATAGCAAGTGTTGCTACAATCCTTGGTTCCACCAGTCCTGACTTTTGGGACCTGTCTTGCCACATACATGGGGATAAATCATCCTCACTCCCTTCATTAGTAAGAAGGAACTTCCACTCAAACAGCAAGAACTGCTACTTTGTGAAACAGGCTCCCAACAGAATGCTTTCCTGATCTTACAATCTTAACCTCTTCCAGTCCAGAGGTTCACTGTAATCTTTCCAACATAATCTCAGGAACATCACTTCTTGCTTTTTCTTATTCTCATACAGTATCATATAGTAACCCTCTGCCTAGAGTGGCTCTGGTACTTTATATTGGATAAGCATAAAAATGAAAACATCAATAGAATTTACTTTTCAATATGTTTACAATCAGCTAAGTGGAATATAAATATATATATAAAGTTGTCGCATTGTATAACAGGATGTCCCAAAAAAATTGACATCATTTTTGTGGTCCTATAACAGCCAATTCTTGCTCCAATGATTTCAAGATCATTGGAGCAAGAATTTTAAAAGAATGTGTGAAAACTGACTGTACGGATTTATCTCAATGAGAATTTACCAGGAAGATGGATCAGTGTGTGAGTGATAATGACAATGTGCTGTTCAAATGGCCACCATGTTCACCTGACTTGACACCATGTGAATTTGTTTTCTATGGAGCTATGTGAAAGGACAGGTCTCTATCCCTCTATTCCTACAAGCCTAGAGGAACTTAAGCAGAGGATCACTGAGGCATTGAAGAATGTTATGCAAGACATGAAGTGTGTTTGGCAGGAGCTGGACAACCGACTTGATGCGTGTCGTGTCACACAGGTGGTGCATATATTGAACATTTGTGAAGCTTTGTGAAATCAGTTATAAAATCTAAATCCCTTAGAATATCTTGTTAGATTTTTTAATAAATAAATCTTTTATTGTTCAATATGAAGCCTATTTAATTTCGTTTACCTGGGACATGTAGTTACTCACATATACACATTTTAAATGATGTCAATTTGCAGGGGACACACTGTAGTTTGTATATTTAATATTGAATAAATTAGACATTTTCTTTTCTTTTTTTTAGATTTTCTCACATGTCAACTCAGTTAAGTGTCATAGCATGATACATGCTTTGGGCAATAATGTCTTTTGATTCACGACTGACTAGGCAGATTTTCTGCAGTTGGTTTCAATTTTCTTTCTGTGGTACATGTCAACTACTTTCTTTTGATAAAATTCGCATAAATTACAACTAATCAGTTCTTCATTTTATTCATTTTGTGCCACTGTGGTCACCACTCCCCTCCCTCTCACAATTGTGGTTCACAGTGACATTCAAGACAGAATAGTGAAATGGCTTGCCAGTTCCTTTTGTTCCGAGGATGTTAAGTTACGCTGGTTCCTCCTTTCAGAATATATTTGTTTTTCAAGTTAGCCTTTTAGCTAAAAAGACAGAGCCTAGAAGTCAGTAGATGGTTTGAATTCAGTTTCCTTCTCCTAGACTGCTTGACAGCCAGAGCTATAGGACCAAGTCTATCCCTGCTATTTTACCCATTGATGGGGGGGAGCAGTTTTTACTTTATCATTAAACTAATAGTGTTATAAAAAGAGAAAACCTATCAGCCTTTACCTGACCAACCTCTGACAGGATCATCAGAATTTATAGCTTGCTGCAATGCACAGTGAACAGGAAGATTACCATGGAAATCACGAGCTATTGGATCAACACCATGTTTTATGAGGTACCTGTAATGTAAGCAAGAGCAAATATTTAAACAAACGAATTGTTGACTATTATTTTTATATCCTGAAAAAGATTTAGATCAACACCATTCAACCATTAAATATAGTGGAAATGACAGATGACAATTGTACTGTAAATTTGTTTAGATGGAAGATGAATTACAATGCAAGATTAATTTTGTCACAAGCTATTAGATTATCACAAAATTGTGTGCCCAATTAGAAAATTAAAACAAAATTTTACATACTCACAAAAAGTATTTATTATTCAAATACATAGTCTCCATTGTTTTTTTAACAAATATCTCCCATTTTTCTACAATCTTGTTGATGCAATTTTCATAGAAACTTCATGGTTTTTGCTGGAAGAAGGTTGAGAGATTAGTTTCCGAGTGACTGTACAGAGTCAAATTTGTGGTCATTTAAATTGTTCTGTTTTGATTGATTATTTTTCTAATCAATCAAATTTCTTTACCATTTCAAATATTTAAACTTCTGCAAGGTCTGTTTGGCAACATGCAGTCTTGTGTTGTCATAGTAAAAAAAATGACACCCTATCAATTTGCCAAAATTGGCAATTTTTCTTGAACCCAAGTCTCTTCAAATGGCAAAAGACAACTTAGATATCAATTTTCAAACTCTCAGCAATTTCTTCTATCAAAATCTTTGGTTTATTCTTCCCAATAACAAACAGTGTCTTCATCACTATTAGGTTACCCAGAGTATGGATGATCATTTAGGCTAAAATCATCTTGACAAAATATGTCAAACCACTTTTTGACCATCTGAAGAGCTGTAGCATAATCCAAATAAATCTTCTAAATGATTTTGTTGTAGTTCTGAAACTTACTCCTTTATCAAAAGAGCATAATCTGATAGAAATACAACTTTTCATCCCATTATTTTTAAGGCATTCATTTGTGGACATAACATCAACAAAGCCTGACTCGCAACTGAACAATCTAGAAACATACCAGAAATTGGCACCAAAACATAAGCCAGTGTCAAGTGGCAGTCATTTTGAAATGAACAGTGAAAATTGGAGCACAAACTTGTGCAGTGATTTGATATTATACACTGATCTATTCCTCTAAAGCAGTGTTTCCCAACTTTTTTTAATTTTTTTTTTTATTTTGTTATATCATTTATTGGAATTGTTGGCAAAACATTAGCTAATTACCAATTGATTTAAACTTTATAAAATGGTAAATAATAAGGATTTCCTTATAGTTGGTTCACATATTTTTAGAATTTAGTAAATTTATGAATAAAAAATTGTTTTCATATTTATTTCTTGATAAATTGGTACATGATAAATATTGCATTGTATTAGTTTTTAGAATGTTGTAAATATAAAATTATATTTTGTAAATAATCTAATTGTTTAATATTTTTGTTGCAAATTCTCAAGAGCCAAAAAAGAAAAAAAAAGAGTATAAATTCATTTTCATCATATGTTTATTTTTTATTCCAATTCTAATCATTGTTTTTTAAAAGCAATAGATATTAGTGAAGAGTGTTAAAAAAAAGTGCTCCCATGGTAAAAACCATCCTTTTGACACTACTTATTGTGGGCACATTTATTCAGGTTTGTCAAAAGATTTTTTTTTTAAATATAAACTCATAATTTGGGTGCACCTGTCTATATTTCAGAGTGCATTTGTGTGCCTGTGCACACCAGTTAAGAAATATTATTCTAGAGTGAATCTAATTGCCTGATAGTTATAAGTTCAATTTGTTTTTTGGTAGTAAAAGTCATTTCATTCAGAAAGAAGGAAAAAAAAAAATCAAAAGTAGCATAACAAAGATAAATTAAGTAACTGTAGAGAGGTAAAGAAAAAATAATAATCTTCAAACACAGTTCAACAAATTATTGAATGTAAAATAATTTTTACTTACATTATTCAGACTGTTATCTTCATTGCCATATTCATTTTTTGGCCATTGTATGCTCTGGCTTTTTTTTAGATGATTGGAATTTCAAACCGAACCTTTTATTTCATCCACCAGGATAGATTGTTCTAGTTCCATGTGACATGCCTCTTCTGGATGTCTCAGTTATTTCCCTTTACTCAACTCTCAAGTTTTGGTTCACCACTGCTGTAGCCTAGTATCGAACCCACAACTCTTTGGGCCTAGTCACTGGATCTAACCAATGCCCTTATCCACTGTGCCATGTATTTCAATCACCTGAAGAAGGCTGGGGTGCATTGTGAATATGACAATGAGGATGAGGATAACAGTCCAAATAATATAAATAATGTAAATAATCATAATACCTCATATCAGAGACAAAAACAGAAAATAATTTTTGTTTATTTTTAAGCTGAAAGAAATAAGATGATAAAGTTCCTCGTTTAATTAGTTCTTAGAATTGCATTTAGGAAAATAATCACGAGCAACATTCATATGAAATTTTTTTTTTTTTACAACACAAAAAAATTAATTGTATTAGAATAGAATATATATATATATATATATATATATATGAAATTGTATATTTGGGCAGAAACCTTTCTTTCAAATATGTTTTGTTGAATATGATGGACAAGAAAAACTTGAATTTTTTTATTGAGATTTTCTAGTATTCTTAATTTTTTTCCATTTGGTGGGGTAAAGGAGCGTCAAAATCATCTGTAGTGTCCATTGTCCCAAGCGCTTTTGGCCACTTCTTTACCCATTTTCAAGGGGTTTGTTATTAATTGTTAATTTCTTTTCAAGGTTGTCTTTTAAAATGTAATTGTGTGAAGCATATTGTGTGAGAGTAGTGTTTATTTTGAGCTCTGTGAAAGGAACATGGTTGGAATTCAATTTGACGTCCTATTTCAAAAATCCTTTAGCACATTGTTCCCATTGTTAAATAAATGAAGATTGATATAATATAGTTACATAATTTAAAGTCAGAATCTGAGTGTACATTCCCCTTATCTCAGAATTACTAACTGCACATTCTGAACAAAATATTACTAAAACAAGACCTAAAGTCGACAGAACTTCATTAATACTATAGCGTACACTAGAAGGGTGTGCCACAAAGTTCTTAACGTGACCTACTTCTCAAAATCAGTCTTTCAATGACTAATTATCAGAATAATGATTTGGGGAAATAGCTCAAGTCCAAGAACTTTTCATCCCCTCTTCATATTTAGATGACAAAAAACAAAAAAAAAAAAACAAACTAAAAACCCAAAACTCAATCAACAGGGAGTACAATATTTCCCTTGCAACTGTCGTTTCCACTTGCTTCATTCCAAACTTTGAAGAGGTTTATCAAATATACAAAGACATCCTATTAGAATTGTGATCGTTCTTCCCTTTATTAGCTCACATGACCATTACACTCTTCTAATACCTCATAAATAAAATCGATTATACTGTTTTGATCAAGTGGAAAGAGGGATAAACACAAGGCAAGTTTAATGTGGGTAGCCCAAGGGCATGCATCAGAGTTAGGTCCAAAAATAGCCTAGCCCCTGCAATTGTTGGTTGCACTGGCATCAGCATTATTGCTGATCACCCATTTTAGTGTAATTAAGCCGGTACTGACACAGACAACCGTTTCCCAAAACTGGGCACCACTCAATAATATTTTCAATTGTCCACAAAGACACAACTGAGAGATGAAATGTAGTTTTATCCACCCAAGAGCAAATACTACCTTTTATCCTAGACAAAAGGCTGAGAAGTGATGATGATCATAATAAATGCACATTATCAAAAGATGGAAACTGAGTAAGGCAATTACCAAAAATTCAGTAACGATGAAAAAAAAATTATTTTTTTTTGTATAACTCTAAATACAGCTTCAAACAATTAACCATTTCACTATTAAATAATTTTCAAAATGAATATGAATTTATACTTAAAATCAGAAAAAAATGCTTTAAAAACAAAAAGGGAAATATTTTATGACTTTATTAAAATATTAATTACATGATAAAGTTATAAACTTTAAAAAGTATTAATTTCAATATTCAGAATTCATTCAATGGAGTAATTATTTTTGATAATTTAAAAGAAATTACTATTGTCCTCATCTTATTTTTTTGGTCATTGTGCCCTCTGCTCTGCTCTGCATCAGGCATATATCAATCAGGGTAACCTACCACTGTGGTACCAAATTCACAAACCAATGCTTTAAACCACTAGAATATTGTGCCATAGGACAGTTTATTGTAATGAACTTGGAGCCTTAAAACTAACCTACCTGTCGTGTTTCGATTGTTGATGCTGTTAAAGAGTTGCTATCATTTGTCTTTCTTTATTCATGGTGCTACTACATTGTATGACTGGCAGCAGCAGTCAAAACAAAAGCAACAGCAGTTGCAGCATTAATCAGCAGACAGCTTAGGTTTAAGGCTCCAAGTTTACTACAGAAAATTGTCCTACAGGACAATAGCCTAACAGATTAAAGTATTGATTCATGAATTTGGCAGTCATAGTGGTAAGTTACCCAAATCAATATACACCTGAGGAACGCTGGAGGGCACAACAACTGAAGTGCTGTGATAACATCAACAAAGATGAGGACAATAGTTTGATTATATTGTAAATAAAATAAATATATACAAATAAATGATTTAGAACCAATTATAATTGTTTCAAGTAAGAACACATTTTAACTGTGACTAAAATTATTCTATATTTCATTTCAACCAGAAATTTTTTTCATAATTAAAAAGGAGAGAAAATGATATATAAATTTTTATATGCCTGAACAATATTAGGAAAATTAATGACTAAGTGGAAAAAACTTTTCATGTGACACCTTTCATCCTTTAGGACTTCATTGGACTAAAATGTTTACATTGATGTAACTACACATGCACACAATGGGAAGAGGGACACTGAAATTTTAAGCTTTAATTTTTTTTTTTAATACATGCTTTGGAAATATAGTCTAACCAATTTCATTTATTTCCTTTCTGTTTATGTTTTTATCACAGTGTGATCCAAACACAAAGTTACTGTGGATAATCTAGCAATTAAAGCACTTTCTATAC